GTTCTTTATAGATCTTGGATATCAGCGCTTTGTCTGTACTGTCATTTGCAAATATCTTCTCGTATTCCGTGGGTTGCCTTCTTGTTTTGTTGCCTGTTTCCTTTGTTGTGCAGAAGCTTTTTATCTTGATGAAGTCCCAATAGTTCATTTTCGCTTTTTTTCCCCTCGCCTTTGGAGACATGTCTTGAAAGAAGTCGCTGTGGCTGATGTCGAAGAGGTTATTGCCTAGGTTCTCCTCTAGGATTTTGATGGATTCCTGTCTCACACTGAGGTCTTTCATCCATTTAGAGTTTATCTTTGTGTGCGGTGTAAGAGAATGGTCCAATATCCTTCTTCTCCATGTGGCTGTCCAATTTTCCCAGCACCATTTATTGAAAAGACTGTCTTTTTTCCACTGGGTATTAATTCATAATAGCTCCCTCGTGAAAACAAACCAAATGTCCATCAATTGATGAATGGTTAGAGAAAATGTGGTGTATCCATACAATGGAATATTATTAGACAGTAAAAAAGAATGGTGTGGTAGTCTCAGGGGTAAGATGGTGGTTGCCTCCAGCACCATGTGGTAATGGCGGGTGACAGAGCCAGAGCTGCTCCATGGTGAAGAGGGAAGCAAAGTCTTTCAAGGAAAAAAGGAAATGCAAACTATGCCAAGAAAGATGATAATGAAGCTTATAATTATTGTACTAAAACCTAGATATGGGGGCGCCTGGATGGCTCAGTGGGTTAAAGCCTCTGCCTCCAGCTCAGGTCATGATCTCAGGGTCCTGGGATCGAGCCCTGCATCGGGCTCTCTGCTCACCAGGGAGCCTGCTTCCCTTCCTTTCTCTCTGCCTGCCTCTCTGCCTACTTGTGATCTCTGTCAAATAAATAAATAAAATCTTAAAAATAAATAAATAAAACCTAGATATGTGTCCTAAAAATGCTAGCTATGTGAGAATTGAGCGGCATTTTGATGATGCTCAGAAAGTTCCAGGAAGCTTTTGGAGACACATAGCAGTGAGGTTGAATGATAGTTTTGCCTGGGGACATCTATGGGAAGGCCAATGCCCCCCAACTTCTAGGGAATGCCATGGTGGCATGTCACCATTTCCAGAGAGCTCTAGAACTGGCTCACAAAAGTGTTCAGGCACAATAGGATATATATGAGCATGAGAAAAGAACAGAAACCGATTCTGAGAAGCAGGATTTTTGGCAAGTGGTTTTCAGCATGGATGGTGCCCTAGAGTTTGCCCCATCTGCCGTTGCTTCAAAATTACCAAAGCACAATATTTAGCCGTGCTGGGTCATTATCTAGAAGGACAGTCTGCGGCCGGTGACATCCACTAAGGGCCATGCTCTGTGTGTAGGAGGTCTCTGCCATTATTAGGAAGACCGCATTGAGAAAGTAGTTCAGTTTTTTGCACAGGCTTCCAAGGTGACTCCTGACCAGAAAAGTGGCTGCCTTGCTCGCAGAAATGCCAAAGCCCTTAAAGCAGAGAAAGAAGGTGGGAATAAAGCATTTAAAGGAGGAAATGACAAGCTGGCCTTTGAGCTACATACAGAAGCCCCAGGGACAGACCCCCAACAATATAAAAACAAATGCCGAACCCTGCTGTAACTGGGGTATAGATCATTCCAGGCTCGGGAGACTAGATGGTGCAACAGAAGTTTGCACAAATGCAGTGAGGCTTGGGGCCACTTAATTAAAAGCGTCCTTGGGAAAAGCTCAGTGTTACATGGATACAGAACAATTTCAAAAAGCAGGACGGGACTGTGGAAAAGTGTATCAGACAGAGAAAACATAAGAACATGCCCAGCTCCTAAAACATTGTGCAGCCAGAGCTGAAGGAAAGCCTACTACAAGGTTCTGGGAGTGGACGTGAATGGCTCTGAGGACAAGATCAAGAAAACTCCGCAACAAGCCTTGAAGCACCATCCAGACGGCCCAGGGGGAGCCAGTGCTAAAGTGGAGGAGGAGGAGGAGGAGGAGAGAACGTTTGAGGAAGTCAGCAAAGCTTTTGCTCTCCTCCCCGATCCCGGGAAGTAGACTCACTTTGACACTGGACTGGACGCAGATGAGGAGGACAAGCATCTGGTCCGGGGAACTTACTTTTTCACTTTGGGTAACAAGAGGAAGCCCTCTAGAAGCCGGAGAGTGTGGATTTGCCTAGTGTGACCTGGAATGTGAACACAGCTCACCTGCTCTCTCCTCATCTCTGTGTACTCGGAGCACCGTGGCTTTTTCCGTTGGATCGCCTGGGTCTGTGTGAGTGGGTGAGGGAAAGGGGGCCGGCGCCAAGTAGGGGCGTGGGAGTGGGGAAGGGGATGGACAGGGAAGCAGCTTGCGAATTTTTGTTTTCCTGTGTAACTTTATTTAAAAAGGCAAAAAAAAAATGTGGGGGTGGGGCACCTGGCTGGCTCAGTTAGCTGAGCATGTGACTCTTGATCTCAGGGTCGTGAGTTTGAGCCCCATGTTGGGTATAGAAATGACTTAAAATTGAAATCTTTAAAAAGTTTTTTCAAATTAAAAAAAAAAAAAGGAGTGAAATGCTGAAAGGTACCATGTCCTAGGCTGTTTGGGCTGCCATAATAAAATGCCATGGATTGGGTACTTAAAGAACAGAAGGGCACTCGCTCACAGTTCTGGAGGCTGGAGGTCGGAGCTCAGGGACCAGCATGGCTTGTTTCTGGTGTGGACTCTCCCCGTGGGCTGCAGGTGATCGCCTCGTTGTGTGCTCACATGACCTCTTCCCTGGGCGGGGTGGAGGGGGCGTGCGGAGAGAGAAGGAAGCTCTCTGTCTAGTGGCTCTTCTTAAAAAGTCACGAATCCCATTATGGGGGCCCCACCCTTGTGGCCTCATCTAATCCTAATTACCTCCCCAAAGTCCCATCTCCCACCACACCGGGGGCTAGGGCTACAACCTAGGAAGTTAGGGGGACACATTGAGTTTATCACACAGTATGAGATGAACGAACCCTGAAAACATTACACTAAGTGAATGAAGCGAGTCCTAAAGGACCACATACTGTGTGACTCCATTGATAAGAAATGTCCAGAAGAAGCAAATCCATAGAGACAGAAAGCAAATTTGTAGGTTGCTTGCCAGGGACTGGATGGGGGGGAAGAAAGAAACAGAGACTGCAAATGAATACGGTTTATTTTGGGGGTGATGAAAATGTTCTGAGGGGCGCCTGGGTGGCTCCGTGGGTTAAGCCTCTGCTTTCAGCTCAGGTCATGATCTCAGGGTCCTGGAATCGAGCCCTGCATCAGGCTCTCTGCTCGGTGGGGAGCCTGCTTCCCCTCTCTCTGCCTGCCTCTCTGCCTGCTTGTGATCTTGGTCTGTCAAATAAGTAAATAAAATCTTTAAAAAAATGTTCTGAAAGTAGATTGTGGGTGATTGTTGTACAACTTTGTGAATCTACTAAAAGAATCCCACGGAATTATACACTTGGAAATGGCAAATTTTATGGCCTGTGAAGTATATCTTAATATTAAAAAAAAGATGTTGAGACACATCAATCAATGGACCTTGTTAGACTGTCAATTCAAACAGAGAAACTTAAAAAAAAAAGAGACAGATATTTTTATTTTTATTTTTGTTATTTTTAAAGATTTTTATTTAACAGATCACAAGTAGGCAGAGAGGCAGGCAGGGTGGGGGGAAGCAGGCTCCCCAATGAGCAGGGAGCCCGATGCGGGGCTCAATCCCAGGACCCTGAGATTGTGACCTGAGCCAAAGGCAGAGGCTTAACTCACTGAGCCACGCAGGTGTCCCAAGAGACAGATATTTTTAAAACAATCAGGGAAAATTGAACCTGGATTCTGTATTAGATGATATCAGGAATTCCTTTTTTTTTTTTTTTAATTTATTTGACAGATCACAAGTAGGCAGAGAGGCAGGCAGAGAGAGACAAGAGGAGGCAGGCTCCCTGCTGAGCAGAGAGCCCGATTCGGGACTCGATCCCAGGACCCTGAGATCATGACCCGAGCCGAAGGCAGAGGCTTTAACCACTGAGCCACCCAGGAGCCCCAATATCAGGAATTCTTGATTTGGGAATGTGCAATAGTAGTAACGTGATTATAGTTTTTTAAAATGTCGCATTCACAACTGAACTGCACAGAACATTCCAGCATATACTATCTTACATACCTGTCCCCTGTGTGAGCTTCCTAATGCCAGCCGTCAGCCTGGGGGGTAGCTGAGGGTGGCGTGGCAGAGGCACGTTCTCAAGCTCCTCCCCCTCCCCCGTGAGAGAGGCGGTGGGGGGGACAGGGGTGCCCTCTCAGGTGTGGGGAAGGCCACTCTCTGAGGCAGATGGTTGTCAGGCCACTGGTCTGGCCCCATTTCCCGGGAAAGGGCCTACTTTCCTCCGTGCCACCCCAAAGGCTCTAGCTCCCGGGTCATCAGGCGACTCTGCTCGGTGTCTCCCTCAGCTTTCCCACATGTGCTCCATTCTGGAGGGGCTCCAAGGCTAGAGCCACAGAAGGCACCCAACTTCCGACTCTCTGGTGTGGCGTGAAGGCGGCTGCGACCCCATTTCTTCCTTTCTTGGCTTCTCCGTCAGGGCCTGGGGGTCTGGGGTGTATGGTGGGGTTCGGGACCGAAGGCCTTTCCGGGAGATTCGTGCGTGAGGAGACTGCCCAGAGAGCTGCGGTTTTCACCTCCTGGCAGCCCGAGTCCTTCAGGTACTTTACCTCCTTGCAACCTCACCTCCTTCAGGAAGCTCCCCGGATTGAACCCATGCAGCCATTCCTTGCTCGGTCCTGCTTTTGTTCAGGCCCGTGTCTGTCAGCTGGTGTCCTTGTAACTCACTCCTGGGCCAGCACTGCCCTTGGGACGTTCTGAAGTCCCTTCTCGCGTGCAGCCGGGTCGCCGGCCTCCGGAGTCTCCCGGGGTCCCCGGCCGGGCTGGGGGTGCCGCGCGCACACAGACTCCCGGTGCCCGTGGCTGATGTCTGAGTGGCAGCACTGCTCTTACATAATCGGTTTCTCTCCTCCTTTCTCCCTCCGGAGCCAGATTTCACATTGAGCAGCTGCAGACGGAGAAATCAGAGAAAGCACAACCCAGCCCGGATTCCGAGGGGCCTGCTGGGGACTCTCTCCTCCGGCTTGAGAAGGAAGACCCCGAGGCCAGAGTCCCCGGCCAGGTCCCGCCAGCTGCCATGGGACTCGCGGCCGCCGCCCTCCAGCTGCCCTCCACTCGGCCAGGCAGATAAGGGCGGGCACTGCCCCAGGAGCACCTGCCGCCCCCTGCCGGGCAGCTCCTCTGTGGCCAGCCCTTCCCCAGCCTTGGGGCACCTTCACTGACCCGAGGCCATGTAGGCCCCATCTGGGCCTTTGTGGAGAGACACACACGGCCGGGGACACCGCCTCTGCTCTCTGGGGGACACAGCGCGCCACCATGTCCTGGGGAATCGCCGGGCTGCACTGTGAGTACCGGGGTGGGGGGGGCTGTCCGTGGAGACTGCCCCGGGAGGCATTGGCCCAGAGCCGGGCTCTGCTGTAACCAAGGCAACCGGGTCATTCCTGCTGGTGAGAAGTTGAGATGCTTCCCCGCTTAACAGCCTGGGGACTCCCGTGGCCGCTCTCTGCCCTGGCTGTAGCCCACCGCGGCTCAGACCCGCAGTGCGGCTCCAGGTCCTGGGCTGGGTGGGCATGGTCAGCGGGTGGTCAAGGGGATGGGGCAGGCACGGGGTGCAAGGGGCAGCAGCACCTTCTCAGGCTGTCTGGTGCTGGGGTGCACGGGCTGTGGGGGCAGAGAGGAATTCTGGTCTCCCTGGGTGTGGCCAGCCGGGGGCGGGAGCTTGTGGAAGTGTCTCCCAAGACCCGTGGGAGAAGTGCCACCAGGTGCTGGAGGAGGCAGCCTGTTCCCTCTGCCCCTCCCTCCGTGACAGAACAAAATTAAGAGGCAGAAAGAGAACAGTGTTGTTGGTAAAAAGAAAAATAAGTTGAAATGAGGACAGAACGTGTCTAGAAGCCTCTCAAGCCTGCTGGTGGGAGGCCAGACCAAGATCCCTTCAGACTCCAGGATTCGATTGAATTGACTCAAATTCAACACATTTTTCTGGTGCCTCCCACATGCCCACTGGAGAGTGACTGCCATGGCAACGAGGACTGGGCTAGCTCGTGCCCCTCTCCCCGATGCCTGGCACCGAGGTAGGCGCTCGGAGCTGTGTGCCTTATGGATGAGGTCTGGGGTTTGATCTCGCAAGGGGTCCAGGCTGGCCCTTGTGGAGGGATACTGCAAAGGGTCGGGACACGCAGAACAGGCAGAAGGACCCAGACCAGGTGTTCTGGAAGCTTCCAGGTCACGAGGAGCAAGAAGAGTGGTGTGGTGAGGAGCCACTTGAGTGGACGGTGTTCACACAGGTGGATGTAGGAAGGTGAGGACCGTGTCTCAGGTAGAGGGAACAGCGTGGGTAAGGGTTCAGCCTGGGGACCATGAAAGGCCAGGCTGGAAAGCAGGTTTGGGCTCAGCTGGTGGAGGCCATAAAGGCCAGTTCATGAGACATCAGGGAGCCCTGGAAGGTTCAAGATCTGGGAGTGGGGTTGTGACTGGAAGTTACTCTGCTTTCGGAAGATCAGTCTGTGCTACTTGCTGGCTGTGCTGCGACCTTGTGGGCAGGAAGTGACGAGGGTCTGTTCTGGAGATGGCCCTGGGAGCGGAAGGCATGGTGGAGGCCGACTGCCCGCTGGGGCAGGGATGGGCTGTGGGGTGGGAGGCAGGGAGGGCTGCAGGTCGGGGACTCGTAGAGGGGCTGGGTGCTGGAGAAGGATGGGCTGCCATAACAAATTGCCACAAACTCGGTGACTGAACAGAGCAGAAATTTCTTCTGTCCCAGGTGTGGAGGCCAGAAGTCTAAAATTAAGATGGGGACAGGGCCACGCCTCCTGCGGAGCTCTGGGGAGACTCCTTTCTGCCTCTTCCTGCTTCTGGTGGTGGCTGGCAGTCCGTGGTTTGGGGTGCCATAGCTCTGGTCTGTGTCGGTCTCCTCTTGACTCTTTCTGCATGTTTCTCTGTCCTCTCCACTTCTTATGAGGACACTTGGTCATTGGATTTAAGTTGGGCCTTCATGTAATCCCCAAAGACCCCATTTCCTAATAAGGTCACATCTGAAGCCTGGGTGAATAAGGATTTTGGGGGGATGCTGTTCAGCCCTCTGTGCAGGTTCAGATTCGGTTGCTGCGGGTGGTAGACAAGCCCCATTTGTCCCTCCGCAAGGATCTGTCCCCAGGAGAGGCGCTGCCCCTCCCCCTCCCAGCCAGGGATCTGAGAAGGGAGCTCCTTCCTCACTCTCTTTTTCTTCAGCCTCCTCTTCTGTCTTGGGGATGTCTACCTTCTGGAGGGTGGGGGACCAAGAGCGGCCCCCTTCCCGGGTCAGGAGTGTGCTGGCGGTGGGGCTCTCTGGGGTTCAGAGCTGCTGTGAGGCTACAGCCATGCTGTCACTGACCATGGAGTCACTGGTTGCTGGCCTGTTTCTTGGGGTGGAGACAGCAGAAAAGGGGCTGAAATTTGGAGATGGTGGTCAGTCTGCAGATCTAAAGGAAGTCTGGGTCTGGCGGAAGGCAGATGACCCATGGACAAGGTTTCTGGCTCAGCCCATGCATGCCAGGATGGCTTTTTCTGACTTGTTCCTGCTAGGAGCCCACTGCTGTCAGGACAGGGGTGAGGGGCAGCAAGGGTGGGACTTCAGGATGACTGGCCCATGGGAAGGAAGGCCAAGTGTGGACAGAGATACTGATTTTAAAGACAAGATGCAAATTCAGATTTTTACGTGAAATCTCTGTGAACTGAGTTGTGGCCCTTGGGACACCAGTTTGCAACAGTCTCTGGAGGTCGGTTGTTCTCCAAGTGTAGTCCCCAGATCAACAGCAGCAGCTTGGAACTTGCTAGAAATACAAATTCTCCAGGCCTACCCCAGACTTCCTGACTCAGACGCTCTGGGCCTTAACCAGCTTTCCAGAAAATTCGGATGCATGCTCCTCATCCCTTGTTCAAGATGAACCCCCACAGTGCTCAGTAAACAAGACTATGTTGTGGCTGACTGCATTATGGACTCACATACTGGGGGCCAGTTTGTCTGGTCAAGACAATGAGTGAGGTAGACAGATGGTGCTAGAGACCGAGACTATGGGGGCTGGTTCAGGCAGGGGAGAGCCTGGTTGGGGCTTGGGGGGAGGAGTCTCGGTGAGACCTTCAGAGAGGTCTGCCATGTGAGAGGATACCCAGGGCAGAGGCAAAGTGTTAGCAAAAACTGCAAACCAGGAATGATCTCAGTTTGCCGTGGTGCCAAGCTGAGGGGCTTCATGAATTAGAGACAAGATAGGAAGCGGCAGAAAACAATGGTTCGGTTTGTGTTTATCTGGTCTTTTGTCCAAAATCCAGTGCAAGCACTTGGGAAGAGACAAGAGAGAGGAAATGCAAGATGGGTTGCAAATTTGCAACCTTGAAAAATACGGTTGGCGGACTGCTGTGCGAGGAAGGGCTGGTGGGGCCAGCACATCCTGGACATGGGCTTGGGGCCATGTGGGGCGCTCCTGGGGAGGGTCCAGCCAGAGCCAGGACCGGTGGCAGCACTGAGAAGGTGGAGAGGTGGCCAGGAGCAGGCCCAGGCCAGGGATGGAGTAAGCGTAAACATTCTCTGACAAGGTGGTTTTGATTGGTGACGTTCGGTAATGAACATGTGGGCCATTTACAGATTGTCATTCTTAGGGAGAGAATACCGCAGCAGGACTCTGTCCACGAGTCTTTTGGTGATGGCTCTTTCTTGTTTTCCTTCAGCCTTATCCCTAGAAATGAATTCAATGGGTCAAAGGATGTGAACATTTACAAAAATTTTTTTAAGGAGTATTTATTTGAGGGGGGGAGGGGCAGAGGGAGAGAGAGTCCCAGATAGACTCCCTGATGAGTACGGAGCCCAATGCGGGGCTGGATCTCATAACCCTGAGATCAGGGCCTGAGCTGAAACCAAGAGTCAGATGCTTAACCCGCTGCACAACGCAGGCACCCCAGCAGGTCAAAGGATGTGAAAAATTTTTAGGCTTAATAGGTCAACGGGTATGGACATTATTAAGTCCACCAATAAAAAAAATGGCCAAAATGCTTTCCAGGATAAGAGCACCTACCTCACGACTTTGCCAGCACCAAGTGTTATGAAAATGAAATGGAAAAAAACCCTACTTTCCTTTTTGATAAGTGAAACATGGCATCTGATTGTTTTAATATGTATTTCTTTACCTTTACTGGGGAGTTTTTTGGGGGATACGTCTCCTGCCCATCTGTGTTTTCTTTCTGCTCTGATGAGTCTGAAACGTTTTCATATTTGTTGTAGACTCTCCGATATTTTTTAAAGTGTGTTCGGGTCCAGGAAATCACAAAACCTGTTTTTGAAGTCACAGTGGCCCCCCCAAGTGGTGAAAGCTGGTAATGTTCGAAGGCAGACCGTTGGCTGGCGGGGGGGAAGCCTCAGCCCGAGAGCCGCAGGCTTCCCCAGCATGAGCACCCTGGAAGGGCCACAGTGATTCGTGTGTCTTAGAGGGTTGTCAAGATCAGCCACAGCAGGGAGGGAAATGGCTCCAGTTACCCTAGAGTCATTTGCAGAGTTGAACGAGCCTCCGTGTCTCCTGAATCCCCAGATGGAAATGCAGACCCAGGCTTTGAGGACACTCCAACCCTCGAGGGGGTGGGGGCCACGGCTGCCCTGGAAAGGAGGTTGTGCCTACCCCATGAGGAGACTTGACACCAACCTCAGGGTGTGACTGCTGGGGGGACTCTGCCTGCTGGGGGCAGGGGTGCACCAGCTGGACTGCTCGTGCTCACCTGGCCTTGCTGCCTGAGCCTGGACCCTGGAGGGGAGGGCGTCCTCTGGGCTCTGCACCCCCACCCCTCCCATGGCCGGGAGAAGGGAGGGCACACCCAGGTGGCAGGGGTGTGGCACAGGGTGCTCATGTATTGCTGTTGGGTTCGGTCCACAGATCTCGGGATCCTCCTTGGCATGGCCTTGGGGAACGAGGGTTTGGAGATGTGGCCCTTGACACAGACCGAGGAGTGTGCGGTTACCGGCTTTCTGCGGGACAAGCTACAGTACAGGAACCGTCTTCAGTACATGGTAACTGTGTAGGCACCTGCCCAAGCCCCCGGGCTCCCAGGGTGTAGGACCTTGAGGGCCCCACTGTGGGTCTGTGTCAGCCCTGAGCCCATGGCCTCTTTCTCCACGGCACGCACCAGTGTGCCTGGTTCCACACTGACTGTCCCCTCCCCTGCAGGTGTCCCCCCAGGCCCTTCACCCCTGCTACTTGATCTGACCTTTGATCCTTTCTCCCCATGCCGCTCACCCTGTGACTCACGAGTGGATTCCAGGAAGCCTTACGGGAGTCCCAGGCACTTACTGGCAGGGCAGATAGATAAGGACCTGTCACTGTGGCTCTAAAAGTCTGTCTTTTTTCTTTTCTCCTTGACAGCTTTACTAGATGTCATTCACATACCACACTAGTCACCCGTTTAAGTGTATAGCTCAGCAGTTTTCAGTATCCGGCAGAGCTCTGCAGCTAGCACCATAAGAAGTTTAGATCATCTTACTTGAGCTAGTTTTCCTCACCTCCAAGAAATATAGTACTCTTGGGGGTACTAGGTCCTCCAACCACTTCTTGGCCTAAAATTTCTGCCATCATAGGAACTCCACACTTTGTCTCAGCCTCCCCTGTGTCCCAGAGGAAGGAGAGCTGTCGTTACCCCAGGGGAGAGCGGAGGGCTCCTTCTCTCTCAAAGGCCACCGCTGCCATCAGCGGACTGGTCCTTGGCCCTCTCCTCCTACAGCAGATTGTCTGGGAGCAGGGGGAGCCTGTCTGAGCCATTTCCGACTCTGACCTCATGGTTTGTTCTTGTACTTCCCCAGAAACACTACTTCCCCATCAACTACAGGGTCAGCGTGCCTTATGAGGGGGTGCTCAGAATGGCCAACATCACCAGGCTGGTGAGAACTCCTCCTGGGATGGGAGACCCCCTCCTGGGCTGGGAGACCCCTGCCTCCTGGGACACCCCATGGACCCAGCCTGAGAAGCACGTTGGTCTTGGCAGGTCCTGCTGCGAGGGGCCTTTCCCAGCTCTGGGACCAAGCCTGCCCTTGGCTGAGGCCCCGAGGCTGCTCCTTGTTTACCATGGCTGCCTGTGCTCTGCTCCCTTCGTGGGGCCGCGTGGGGTGGGGGGTGATCAGAGCAGTGGCAGGGCGGGCCGGGAGGCACATGTCTGCTGGTCTCAGTGATCTCTCCTGTCCCCGCAGCAGAGGGCGCGGGTCAGCCAGCGGGAGCTGCGGTACCTGTGGGTCTGGGTGAGCCTCAGCGCTACGGAGTCGGTGCAGGAGGTGCTGCTCGAGGGCCACCCGTCCTGGAAGTACCTGGAGGAGGTCCGCACGCTGCTGCTGGACGTGCAGCAGAGCCTCACGGTGAGCTGCGCCCAGCTGCGTGCGGGGCGGGGGACGCGCATGCGCGCATGGGTGGCGGCCAGGGATGGTTGAGGTGTGAACACGTGGAAAGTTACAGCGTGTCCTAAAGGGCGTGGGAGAAATGAGAGAGGAAGACAGGGCCAGTGCCCGGTGGGTGGCCTTGGCTGGGGGCAGGAGAGGCTCTCTCTTGACCTGGGATCTTGGCCAAGTCATCAATCCCTCTGGCTTTGTTTGTGGAGGCTCCTCTTGGGGGAGAGGAGAGGAAGCACGAAGAGGCAGAGGAATGAACACAGGTTTTGGGGTAAGGACATGCTTATTTGTAAAGGTGGATACATGACATCCTACGTTTGTTAAAGTCCACAGCTCGTACAGTGCAAAGTCAACTATGGGCTTGATGTCTTAAGAAGGTTCCCGATCATGGCCTGCCTGGCAGGGTTGATATGAGGCCTCTATAAAGCCGGCAGCCTAGGGTTGCAGAATCAGTGTGAGCCCCTGCAGGCCGTGGGTGTGCTGCGGGACCCCTCCCCGCCACCCCCATTTTGCCCTAGTCCCCAAGTAGGAGCCTGCCCCGGGAGCCCCACCTGCTGCCCAGCCAGAGCTGGGAGCTGCGGGGGACCCTGGAATTTAGGAGCCCACGCCTGCTGGGAGTTCTGGGGAGGCTTTGGTTTGGGCGGAGGCTCGGAGGCCCAGTGGTCTCCTCGGTGGCTCTCCGGTGCCCGTGGGCAGCATTAGTTGGAGCTGACTGAAGAGACAGTTTTGCATCCTTGGTTTTCCTCGAGAGAGCCCTGACTCTGAGCTCTTGGGAGCTGTGGAGGAGGTTGGGGGCGGGCTGAGGCTGGGGGCCCGGGCCCCCCAGGTTGTTCACATTTAACTGGCTTTAAGTACATCTTCATTCTCATGGAGTTAAGGGTCTGTGCCCCGCTCCGAATATGCCCAGCATCCAGTGGGTATTCGGCTCTTCCTGCCAGGGACTGGGCCATGGGGATGGGCGCCTCCTCTCTCCTGCCACGCTCACTGCTCTTTCAAAGCCTTTGTAGACTGTTTTTTTTGAGTTGCTGTGAACAGGACTGCTAACTGGTGGAATAATACAGAGGTTCTCCTGCCACAGGCCTGGGGCCAGAAACCCTGCACTCGGGGTGGCAGCAAGGCTATGCTCTCTCTAAAGGTTCTGGGGAGGAGGGACCCTTCCTGCCTCTTCCCTGCCTCTGCTGGCCGCTACTGCTGTCGGCTTGTGGCCACATGTCCTTCACGTGGCCTTTCCCTCGGGTGCCCCCTCTTACAAGGCCGCCAGGCACTGGATTTGGGGCCTACCCTACATTCATACTGATCTCATCTGGAGATCCTTAATTATATCTGCAAACGTCCTGTTCCCAAATATGGTCACGGTCACAGGTCCCAGGGTTGGACATAGTTTTCTTGGAGGGGGAGGTTGGGGGAGGGGCAATTCAACCCAGTATACTACCTTGAGGACGGTCTTTCCCAGGCTCAGGCCCTGCATCTCCGTTCTAGGCCATGTCCCCTGTACCAGCTCTGGCCCCCTGTTCCGTCCCCGGGTGTGCCTGCCTGCTCCCCAGTGTTCCCTGTCGTTGCATACGGTGGACAGAAGCACCCTGAGCTTGGAGCCGGAGACTGGCCTGGCCAGTATGCCTGGCACCCAGGTGTCCTCATGAGGGTCCCTTGTCTTGTTCCCTGCAGGCAGTGCAGATCTTTGACTCCTGGACAGTCTCCTGGGCCCAGGACCCCTTCCTTATGTGCTGGTGGCCAGGCCTGGGCTGGGACAGCAGGGATGTCCCCTACTTTCCCCCATCCCGGACTGCTTCCTGCAGTCATTTTTCCAAAGATGGAAAAAGAGGAGCCTCTGTGTGGGGCTTGGGTGAAGCGTGTCGAGGTACCTTGTCGCCTGCAGGAAGCAGTAGAGAAGTTACCCATAGGCCTTCTGGTCACCGTTAGTCCCCTTCCTCCGGGGCTGGAGCAGCTCCAAGCAGGGCAGTTTCCAGGGTTCTCCTGGGATGTGGCTCTGCCTCTTCCCTGGGGTTGGGGCGGTGGTACCCATGGTCCTGAGGGCCTCCTCCCTTCCAGGATGTGGAGGTCGGCCCCAAGGTGGACGCAACAGTGTCACTCCTGAGTGCCCCGAGGCTAAGCCTGAAGCTGGTGCGACCCAAAGCCCTCCTGGACAACTGCTTCCGGGTCATGGAACTGTTGTACTGTTCGTGCTGTAAGGAACAAGGGGCTGGGGCTGGGGGCTGGACCCCAGGTTTCTGAGCTCGGGTCACTGAGCAGAGCCAGGGCTCTCCTGGGCTTGCCCTCCACTCCCCGGGGCTATAAGGCACTTCTGCAAGCCAAGAGGAGCCCCGGGTATGGGGATGAGAACAATGTGGCGTGGGTTGGGGATGGAAAGGGCTGTTGACCACTCCTGCAGTCTTTTTTGTTCCCCCCCTGTCTCTTGCAGGTAAACAAAGTTCTGTCCTAAACTGGCAGGATTGTGAGGTGCTGAGCCCTCAGCCCCACAGCCCGGAGCCCTCATCGCAGTGTGCGGCTGCCCAGACCTACCCTCTGTCCCAGCGGCCCCCTACCTCCCTCCCTCGCTTCCCAGGATCCGAGACCAGACCCCCGGCTCAGTGAAACTGCTGAGGGCACAGGCAGAGACCTCTTGCCCCGAGAGGCCCGTGTGGTGACTTATATGGGAAAGCTCGAGGTGCTTCCACAGTTCGGTTGAACCTGAGACTTCTCTGGGCCGTGGTGTGGAGCCCCCTACCCGCCTTGAGAGGGGAAGCCCCAGGAGAGTGTTTTTCCTTTGAGGGGATTCTGTGCCTGAGAAGGGCTCAGCTCCCCGCATTCTGTACCTCACCTGGTCTCCCCTGGAGCAGCGGGGGTCTGGGGGTACCTGAGGGGGGACAGAGGTCTCTCCTCTTCCTGCACCACCTGGGCTGCCTACTGGGCCTGGAGGCGTTGCCGAGTGTCTCCTGTGGCCTGCAGAGGCGAGAACTGTGCCGGGCAGGCGGGCGAGCACGGGGAGGGAGGGGGCCGGGCCACACACCCCGTCTTGCCACAATGGATGCTCTTCCAGTTCCTTATATTTTCTATTAAACACTTGCTTGTTTTGTTTCGGTTTGGTTTGCATCTGCAAAGATGAACCCCAGAGGCCTGAGAGCCCCTCCGTGGCCTCCGTGTTCCAGTTCCAGGACTCAGAAGACAGGTGGGCTGGTCGGGCCCTGGGACCTGGGTCTCAAGATTTGGATTTGGAATGGATGAAGCCTTAGCCTGGAGGCCTGGAAATGGTCTTTGAGGGCCTGAGTTCCTTCCACACCTGCCCGAGCTGCCGGGGCCTCAATGAGACGGAGACCGAGGGGCAGAGGGTGTTAGGCTGGTCCTCCTCTGTGCCCCCTGGTCGCCCTCCCTGGCTCCATCTGCCTGGGACAGGGTGCAGGTGTTCAAGAGCATAGGTCCTGGCACCAGACCCGGCTGGTCCTGCCCCCCTGCACGTGGAGCCCGGGTGCCCCTGCCCCAGGCCCGATCTGGGGTGGGCCGGGGCTGGGGCTGCACGGCTGCCGCAGGGGGCCGGTGAGCAGCCGGGGAGGAAGCCAGGTGGACGCAGGGGTGTTAATTACAGTACAACTTTATTAATACTGGAATCTTCACAGTGCATTTGTTACTTGTAGCAGTGACTATTTAAATCAAGGCGGGGGGGGGTGGTGGAGGGGGCAGGGAGGAGAGTATAATTTATCCAAAAACGGACAGAAAGAAAAGAAACAAAATGGGTCAGATGGGATGGGGGGGTTGTGGTGGGAAGGGAGGAAAGGTTGAGTAGGAACCAGGAGCAGAGACCCGGGTGGGGAAATAAATTAAAAAAAAAAAAAAAGGAACAAGTTAACAACAGCACCAGAAAAGTTACTTCAGTCAAAAGACGCTTTTGAAAAGAATATTTCTCTGTACAAAATGGGAAAAAAAAGAAAAGAAACGAAACGAACGTAAAGAAGTTCCCCAAACCAAAGTTTGTGATGCGGGCTGGTTGGCTCGGATCCCGAGGGGGTGGGCCTAAGAGGTGGTCACTAGATGGGAGATAGGTGGTCAAGGGGATGGAGGAGTTATGTACAGCCCTGGGGTGGCTTGGGGGGGAGAAGCCTGGGGGGGTGGCTCTGCCAGGCCAACCCCCCTTCTTGGGCCTCCCAAGTCACCCCCGTACCCCACTGCTCCTTGCCCTGCTCATATCACACACCCTGCATCTTACTCGCTCAGCCCACCCGGGTAAATGCCAGCACAGCCCTGTGGGGAAAGGGCAGTGTATCTGCCTGCCCGCAAACCCCCCACCCCCCGCCTTCCCCAACGGGCCATCTGCTCTCCTGTCCTCTTCAGGCCCTCCCTCACCTGGGCCCTCTCTCAAGATGCCCTAACCTGGGCTCTCGGGTTGGCCTGAGCAGTCAGCAAGGCTGTTCTCAGACCTAGCAACTTACAGATACCATCCTCCATCTGCCCTTGGGAACCTGGGTGGGGTGGGGGGGGGCCTCCAGGCACCAGGGGCCACCTTGGTGCCCCAGACCTGCCTGGCCACCTTGCTTGGACCCCAGTTCCCTGCACAAGAACTACCAGTAGCTCCAGCCTGGTGCTGAGACTCAGCCCCAATCCCTGCTCTCCCGACCCCAGGAGGCCCCCTGCCCTGTGGTCCTGCTGCCCTCCGAGCCCGGCCACCCTCACTGCCAGCCGGCGGGACAACAGGAAGCCCTCCACTCGCCCTAGACGCACCTGCTTCTACCTGCTTTGAGTTGGCGGGACTCAGCACGTGGAGGGGAGGGCACCCCCACCCCGCACCCACCGCCAGCACAGGACCGGACTCCGGGGGGACTGCACTGGGTTGGCATCTCCTCTGGCGACAGAGAGTCAAAGCCAAGCTCCCTGGGCTACACCCCAGCCCCATCCAAGCAGATGTGCTGGCCAACCCCCAACACCTGGCCTTCTCCAACCTTATTTTGGCTTTGCTCCAGAAACTGGAGGAAAAAACAGCTACCCCTTGGCTTTGAGGAAGCAATTTGGCCCTCCTCCTCCTGCCATAGGCCCACCGGGCCACTGTGAGGACCCCTGTCCCTCAGGCACTCTTGGACACCCTGTACGGTCCACCCTGTCCCACCACACAGTCCTGTCTAGTCAGCTCTTTCGCTATCATATTCATAAAAATAACCCCCACACCCTCTACCAAGCTCCAGCCCCTATGCCCAAAGGTGGCCGAAACCGTGACCAAAGTGCCACCAGAGTTAAATTTTCAACGTGCCCATATGAGGGCCACACATCCAAAAGCAGCTCCCGAGGGACCGGCCAGAGGACCCTGTGGCCTGCCCCTCTCCAGCAGCCACACTGCCCCAGCGACGGCACGCTAGGACCTGAAGCCACCTTAGGCGCCATGGCCTTCTCCAAACACGTCCCCAAGACAACGCAGGGCCCTGGGGCTGTGCGCCTCTTCCCTCCACAGGAGGCTGGGCCTCCCAACCTCAACCTGCTCCCCGCCATCCCGGATAGCTTTTCAGTCAAAGCTCACACCTCAGCCGACTGGGCGCCGGGCCCCTCCGCAGACAGCCTGCCTCCCTGACAGAACTCTGGAAGGGGAGAGAAAGGGGAAGGAGGGAGAAGCGCCTGGTCTCCAGGAGAGGCCTCGGGCAGGGCAGGCCCAGAGCAGGGCTCCCCCAGTGGGTGGGGGCGGGGGGAGAGGCAGGGCCTGAGGAGGAGGAGGAGGAGGGGCAGAACAGGCAGGAAACATATAAAACAGGCTCCGGATCCAGTTCAAGGCCTGCAGGCTCCGAGCTGGCGGGCTTGGTTAAGGAAGTCACTTCCCACGTAAATGCTGAAATCCAGGATGAGTGTCTCTCCATCACACGTGACTTAAAAAACAGAAAACCAAAGGCTTGCCTGGCTCTGCTGTCTCCTCGCTGTGCCTTCGCTCTGAGCGGCTGTGGGTCACTGGTCCGGCCACCTGCGTCACACGGGCCAGAGGGCGGGAGGGCGGCGCCATCACAAGATGCGGGGCGCCGACCTGTCGTTGGTGACGGTCCTGCGGAGCCGCACCCCGCGGCGGATGGCCACCAGCATGTCTTCGGCCGGGGGGTCGCCGGAGGCGGCAGGGGGTGGGCTGGGCGTCTCCTCAGCAGGGGCGGCTGCGGCGGCCAGGGCCGTGGGGAAGGGGAACTGGCCCTCGCCCAGGGCGTGGGCGCCCGCCACCAGCTCCCCGAGCTTCTCCACCAGGCTGTGCCGGTTGGCGGCCAGCTGCTGCTGCTCGTCGTCGTCGTCCGCCGCCAGCCCGGAGTAGCTGGTCGCCTCGGGGGCCGGGCTGGCCCACGCCGTGTTGGGCAGGCTCAGCCGCTTCGGGGAGGCCTTGGCCAGGTCCGCGGCCAGGGGCGAGGCGGCCTCGTCGCTGTAGAAGACGCACTCCTCGCTGCCCGCCCGCGTGGGCCCCGCGTAGCCCGGGGAGTCGGGCACGGTGGGCGTCTTCACGGGGACGATGGGCGGCCGGATGGGGATGGGGCCGGCGCTGGAGAGCGCGCGGCGCACGGCGGGCTTGGTGGACGGCGTGCGGCGGATGGTGGCTACGCCGGGGGGCGCGCCCGAGGCGCTGGGCAGCCCCGCGGTGGAGGCCGGCCGCTTGGTCTGGATCAGGCGGCGGTAGTTCTGGGCGATGTTGCTGTTGCGGGGGATGGTGGATGACTTGTCGAACTCGGCCGGGCCCTCGCCGTCTGCGTCCCCGTTCACGGAGTAGCAGTCGTAGTCGGAGCCTGGTGACACGGGATGCGGTGGGCCGGGGCTCGGAAGGCTGGCCGATCCGCCCCGGCCCCGGCCCCAGGGCCTACCTTGGGACGGGATGGTGTCCTCGGAGCACGAGGGCGTGGTGGTCTGCGTGCTGTAGCCGCTGGAGTACTGCAGAGAATCCCGACTGCTCTTCTGGTGCTCCAGGCTCAGGCCGCGGGTCAGCACCATGGCCAGGTCACTGGCGGCGGGGGACACCTCCTCGCCGTGCTGGGGGTGGGAAGACTGCAGGCTGAAGCTGGGCTCCCCGCTGCCCCCCTCAGCCCGGATTCCAGGTGGCTCCCGCCAAGAAGCCAGGGCTGGCCCCAACACCAGTTGCTGGGCCTTCAGGTATGGACCTGGGAGTGAAGGTGGGGCCCCGGCTGGGCTGCCGGAGAGCTGGCGCCTACCTTGGCTGCGATGGTGGCAGGGGACATGCGGGGTCGCGGTGCCTCCTCGCTGCTGGGGCCCAGGGCACCCCCGCTGGCCAGGCCTGGTTCTGTGTCTCGGGGGTGCTCCGCTCGATCCTTTCTCCGCTGCAGGCTGGTGCTCGAGGGCTGCTCGTGGGGGCCCGCCTTGGCCCAGTCCTGCAGGGGGCGGCGGATGGGTCAGGGGGCCCTTGGCCCTGTCATCCGCAGTGATGGGTCCCCTCACTATTGTTGAGGTTCAGGGTTTTCAGGCCCATATGGGGGTCAGGCCCATGATCATGGCCAAGGACAGAGCATGGAGGGTACCATGACCCCTCAGTCCCTCCAGGCCCAGGGGTAGGATAGCATGTCCCAGGAGGGAAAGATGTGTGTTGGGAGTGGCTGCAGGTGTGCCCAGGCGGCTTTTCCTGTGGGGAGCAGGCACCGTGTGCACCCCCCGCTGGTTGACCCTGGACCCTCCCTGCATCCCACTGCAGGTGGGGAGCACTGACCGAGGTGGGGGAGCTGCACTCGCTAACGGACTGGCAGGTTTCCGAGGCCTCTGAGGACGCAGAGCTGGAGGACTTCTGCCATGCAGAGGCGAGCAGGCGGGCGGACGGGGCGGGGAGGCCAGGAGGAGAGGAGAGAACAGACCTGGTCACAGCGCCGGCATGCAGCGGGGCGCTCCGGCTCAGTGCCCCACCCCGCCACCCCTGCGAGCGTCTGCAGCAGATCTCAGCACCCTGAGCGCACACGGCGGGCACCGGCCGACTCTGCGGCCCAGCCCAAGAGCCAGAGGTAGTGAGAGTTCACAACAGGACTTGCTGCCCACGGCCTGGATGTGGCGGGCCAGGGAAAGAGAGACACGAGGGAGGGCGGAGGAATCGATGGCGTCCCTGTTGTGTCAAAAGCACACGCCTGCGGGAAGGAAGGAGTCCGGAGCTCCATCCTGCACGCGCAAAGTGGAGCTGCCTGTCCGCTGTCCACACACAGATGCGACCAAGGCAACCGCATTTACAGGTCTGGAATTGAGGGAGAAGACAAGGGTAGCAGCCACCAATCCACAGCCATGAGACAGAGTAAGGTCAGCCTGGCAGCAGGGGCCGTTAGAGAGAAGGTACAAGGACCCAGGCAGGCCCACAGTCAGTGACTGGGAAGAGGAGGGTCCAGCCAAGGGGAGGAGCAAGGAGCTGCCAGAGCAGTAGGAAGAAAACCAGCAGCAGACGGTGTTACAGAACTCAGAAGGAGCTGCCCCGCGGAAGAGGGACAGGCAGCGGCGCGAACGCTGCCAGGGGTCTCTCAGATGAGGGCACAGAGGCCTCCCTGGAGACTTCAAGAACTAGGTCACAGGGGCACCTGGGTGGCTCAGAGGGCTAAGCCTCTGCCTTCGGCTCAGGTCATGATCCTGGAGTCCTGGGATCGAGCCCTGCAGCGGGCTCTCTGCTCAGCAGGGAGCCTGCTTCCTCCTCTCTCTCTGCCTGCCTCTCTGCCTACTTGTGATCTCTGTCAAATAAATAAATATTTATTTATTTATTTATTTATTTATTTATTTATTTATTTATTTATTTATTTTAGAGCATGATTAGGGGGAGAGGCAAAGGGAGAGGGAAAGAGACCCCCCAGCAAACTCCGGCTGAGTGTGGAGCCTGACTGGGGCTAGATCCTGGGACGCTGAGATCAACACCTGAGCTGAAATCAAGAGTCAGATGCCTAACCAAATGAGCCGGCCAGGCGCCCCTGCTTCTGTTTTGAAATATAAACAATTCAATGATAAATCAAAATATATGAAATGTTAACTTCAGGGAGAGGGAAATGATAGGAGCGAAAGATAGGGACTGGAAGCTAGAACTTTCTGAACATACTTTCTATAGTTTTTACTTTGGAATTATGGGTTTTATGTAATTAAAGTTTTTAAAAATCCCTAAAAATAATAAGCAGATGGAAATGTATGGTTTTTGGACTGTACATGTCCAGTAAGGAGATAACTGAACATAGAACCACGAAGAAATCTTAAACTGCATGGACTTGTCTCTTGTTAAGTGATATCAGTGTTACCATTTTGAAACTACTGTCCATACAGAAGGAGAAAACAAATAATCATCTTAAGTGTCAATAAGAAAAAAGATTCTCAGTACAAGGCAAGCGAGATGCACTTAATCCAAGGGAGTTAAAAGAAACCTTATAATTCTAATGATTTATCTACGGATTATTTTTCTACTTAAAGATAGTAATTTCTGGGGCACCTGCGTGTCTCCATTGGTTAAGTGTCTGACTCCTGATTTCAGCTCAAGTCATGAGATCAGGTTCGTGAGATCAAGCCCCGCACTGGGCTCCGAGCTGAGTGTGGAGCCTGTTTGAGATTCTTTCTTTCGCTCTGCCCCTCCCCTCCACTTGGATGTGGGCTTGCTGTGTCTTTCTCTCAAAAAAAAAGGTCTGTCTGCCTGAAGAGCCTATGGACATTGACAACCAATAAGCACCCCTAGAGCTCAGGCTCTGATTTCTAAGTATCATTCCCCACAAACAGAGCTCTGTGGAAAAGTAGCTCATTTCTAGTCCGAGGCAGAAAATGTCCAAGATGAGCCTCGAAACTCCATTCATGCTTGAAAACAAGGAAGCCGTTGAAGACTACTGGAGTCATGTTAGTAGGATAGGACCCTATTGGAAGGAGCTCCCACTATCTTCATGATGAAATAATTTGAGCATCAAGAAGAATAACAAACAGCTTTGCAATTTCTTATGGTTACATTTCCAACTATCATACAGCCCGGTGACTCACCCCTAGATATTTCCCTAAGAAAAATAAAATATTTCCAGAGAAAGACCATTTGTATGCAAATGTATGTGGCTTTATTCATGCTTGGGAAACCCTGGGAGCAATGCAAATGCTTGTCAACTGATAAATGGATCAACAAATTGTGATATAGGGGCGCCTGGGTGGCTCAGCGGGTTAAAGCCTCTGCCTTCAGCTCAGGTCATGATCCCAGGGTCCTGGGATCGAGCCCCACATGGGGATCTCTGCTCAGCAGGGAGCCTGCTTTCTCCTCTCTCTCTCTGCCTGCCTCTCTGCCTACTTGTGATCTCTGTCTGTCAAATAAATAAAAAATAAAATCTTTAAAAAAATTTTTTTAAAAATTGTGATATAATGGAATGCTACTCAGTATAAAAGGAACACACCACTGATACACTCTGTTGAGTATCCCCAACACATTTGCTAAGTGAAAGAAGACACAACAGAAAGGGCAACATACTTTATGATTCTGTTTATATAATATTTTGAGGGGGAAACCCTATTAGGAATAGCAATTAGATAAATGTTCATCAGAGGTATAGAGTGGGGAAAGGGATTGGCTACAAAGGGATACAGGAGAAGTTTTGGGGGTGATAGAAATGTTCCAGATCTTAGAATAACATGTTTGTGTGTATTTATTAAAACTCATCAAACTGTACACTTAAAGAAGATGAACTTCAGTGCATACAATTTTACCTCAGTCAACCTGCCTTAAAAAGCAACTTTAATAGATTGAAATATAGAAGTTAGAAGATTAATGAATTCAAAATGATACTGAAGAATCATTACTAGTTACCTTTGGAGGATTCTAGGGAAGAACCCATTCTGAAAACTGGTACATAAGCCCAGGGAAAGAATCAAACTATTACCCTGGTTTTTCTATACAGAACAAATTTTGAGGTAAGAAAACAGAGGAGGAGGGAAAGTTCTCCATTCTAGGAGGATCACAGTAATAAATGTAGGAGGAAAGGTAGAAGCAGAAATTCACCACCTGGATTGACTAATGGAATACTGGATGCGGGCTAGAATCCTCAGTGTTTGATGAAAGATAAAAGGCTGATGGAAAACTTTATAATAGGTGAGTCATGGAGAAAGAACTTGACATTAGCTCACTAAAGGTGGATGAGAAGACATTTAGTGTCTCCTGCTATAAGGCAGTACCTCCTATGAAAACTATACGCAAACTTAATGAAGGTTTTTGATCTGAATATTAAGAAATGCATCGATAAGTATGTTGAATGGCATTCCAAGGATGCAGTCAACCAAATCCAGAATGACCCAGTTTCTTCAACAATAACAAAAAGGGAAAATAAGCTTTCAAATATTAAAAGGCCTTAAGAGTTCAAAACTTACACACATTTACAGAAATTTAATATAGTGTGGTACTGGCATAGAGGTAAACATGCAGATCAGTGGAATGGAATTGAGAGTCCAGAAGTAAATCCCTATCTTTCTATGCCTCTGTGGTCAGCTGAGTTCTGGTGAGGGTACCAGTACCATCCAATGGAGGAAATAGTCTTTTCCAAAAATTGGTGCTGGGACAGTTGGATAGCCCCACAAAAATGAAGTTGGGCTCTTACCTCAAACCATATGCAAAAATTAACTCCAAATGCATCACAGACTTGAATGGAAAAGCTAAAACTATAAAACTCTTAAAATACTTATAAATCATTGTGACCTTGGATTAGGCAGAAGTTTCTTAGGACACCAAAAGCACAAACAACCAAAAAAAGAAAAAAAAAAAGATAAATTGGACTTCATCACACTTAAAAACTGTTGTGTATCCTGGGACACTATCAACAAAGTGAAAAGACTCCCTACAAAATGGGAGAAAATACTTAATCTTATCTTTAACAATTTTTTAAAATTATTATTAACATATAATATATTGTTTCAAGGGTACAGGTCTGTGACTCATCAGTTTTACACAATACCCAGTGCTCACCATAGCACATACCCTCATACCCTCCCCAGTATCCCAGTCACCCCATCCCTCCACCCACCTTCCCTCCAGCAACCCTTAGTTTGTTTCCTAAGGTTAAGAGCCTAATGATTTGTCTCCCTCTCTGGTTTCATCTTGTTTCATTTTTTCTTCTCTTCCCCTATGATCCTCTGCGTTGTTTCTTAAATTCTGCTTATCCGTGAGATCATATGATAATTGTCTTTCTCTGATTGACTTATTTTGCTTAGCATCATACCCTCTAGTTCCATCCATATTGTTGCAAATGGCAAGATTTCTTTTTTTTTTTTTTTCATGGCTGTGTAAGACCACATGTTCTTTATCCATTCACCTGTCAATGGATATCTGGGCTCTTTCCATGGTTGGGCTATTGTGGACATTGCTGCCATAAACATTGGAGTGCAGGTGCCCCTTTGGATCACTACATTTGTATCTTTGGGGTAAATGCCCAGTAGTGCAATTGGTGGGTTGTAGGGTACCTCTCTTTTCAACTTTTCGAGGAAACTCCATATTGTTTTCCAAAGTGGCTGTACCAACTTGCATCCCCACCAACAGTGTAAGAGGGTTCCCCTTTCTCCACAACCTCTCCAACATTTGTTGTTTCTTCCCTTGTCAACTTTTGCCATTCTAACTGATGTAAGGTGGTGTATCAATGTGGTTTTGACTTGAATTTCCCTGATGGCTAATAACATTGAACATTTTTTCATGTGTCTGTTAGCCGTTTGTATGTCTTCTTTGGAGAAGTGTCTGTTCATGTCTTCTGGCCATTTTTTGACTTGATTATTTGTTTTTTGGGTGTTGAGTTTGAGAAGTTCTTTATAGATCTTGGATATCAGCGCTTTGTCTGTACTGTCATTTGCAAATATCTTCTCGTATTCCGTGGGTTGCCTTCTTGTTTTGTTGCCTGTTTCCTTTGTTGTGCAGAAGCTTTTTATCTTGATGAAGTCCCAATAGTTCATTTTCGCTTTTTTTCCCCTCGCCTTTGGAGACATGTCTTGAAAGAAGTCGCTGTGGCTGATGTCGAAGAGGTTATTGCCTAGGTTCTCCTCTAGGATTTTGATGGATTCCTGTCTCACACTGAGGTCTTTCATCCATTTAGAGTTTATCTTTGTGTGCGGTGTAAGAGAATGGTCCAATATCCTTCTTCTCCATGTGGCTGTCCAATTTTCCCAGCACCATTTATTGAAAAGACTGTCTTTT